GAATATTCAACAATCCATCAAATATCCAGATATTCAGCACAGCCCAAAAGAGGTATGTGACATTGACTCAAGGCACCGCACATTCCACGGCCATGAATCATGCCTCATACATAACAACCGGATCTACCATTTGTGAGGGAAGACATATTACTTAGTGGCTTTGTAGGGTATACTTATCACGGGGTACTCGATGAATTTTTGATCTGAGGAATGCCGAGGTTGGAATCACTTCCAAAATTCCTTGTCTGCTTGTCACTTTTTTTACGAGTGGCGGCAAATTTGTTTCGTGTCGTCAGCAGAGAAGGGGACCAGCCTGTAGTGGGTAACCGCCATATTTACTCTGGTATGATCTGGATCTTTGACCTCAATAGGCCGATTGCACCTTGCTTAATCACGTGACCTATTCTGGGTGTCTCTCCCATGTCAAAGTGTGTTTTTAGTGTTGCTTATAAACAGTAAATCTGATCTACGGTGTTATACTACCCAGCACATCAGTTTTCTGAGTTCGGTACCTACGATCGGCTTTATTTTTGGTATATGATACTTATGAAACACTGTTCTTTTGATGGACGCTGTGTTTGTTGATATGTAATACCCACAACAGGTCATGTGACATTTTTAGCAGGCACAATCGGTCTATTTCTTTGCTGGCATACGGGGCACTGAAGAGAAGATGCACTCACTCCTTGTAGGAGTCTCTGCCCCCACTATCAGGTGCCCCCTCCCCCCCAAAAAAGGTTTGAAATGTACGCAGCCTGTGTACAAGCCACAATGAATTTGTTTCAATGCCTCCTGGGACAAAAATGTACACCCACGGGTGCCCCCCCCCTCAGAAATGTTGCCCCCAGTTGTGGCACCGTGTACACCACGATGATTGAAGCCTTTTCCTAGTTTTACGAAAGCCTTGGTTCCGTTGGCCGTGGCCCTGCCATTGTTAGCCCAATCCTTTCTATCGACTGAGCCACAGTCCCTCCCACAGGCCCAAGCACTGCCGACCATTGTCTATATAGTGCCATCCGTTCCGAGCGGGAACAAACGAGGGCGTGTTTTTAAATGAAATTGACAGTCCTTTGGTACAAACTCACACCATAGGCACACAAGTTTATGCGCGTTTTGACACAGAGCACGCTGAGTTCGTGTAACACCTTTATTCCGGTCTTCGCATGCACGCAGAATGCGTGCAAGAACCCGCCACCCAGTTAAAAGCTCTTACCAGTCTCTCTTTCTTTCGCTCTTCGTTGTTTTTCTTTCTGATGATACAAAGTTTTTGTAAAAACAAGATAAGTCCAAAGGACCTCTTTAGAGCTTCAATTGTACCGTCCAATACCGAATCATAATTCCATTCACTAAGCCTTGGTGCTGTTTGCAAAAAGCTACTCCCACGTGAAATTGTATTTCTAAAAGACTGAATTTTCCATTTTATACACATGTACCGTTGAGGAACATGTTGCATTTCTTGTGAATATCTTTGGAGGTCATATTTAATTTGACGAAGTCTGTTTGAATGACTTCACCAATAGTGTAGATATGTATGTTTCAGTTTACAGATTTTTTTCTATACTAATAGAATGTCATCGACGGTAAAGAAATTGATCAAGAGTCGGACGCTGCCAGTAATGACTCGGATCATGAAAGCTGCCCAACAAGTGACAAAATGTGTGATGAAGAGAGTGACAGACACCCGACAGGGAGTGTGAAAGCAGTAGTGACAGTACAGAGGCACCGAGAAGTTAATGCTAGTGCAGAAGGTAACAGTGGGGAGAACTAAACAAAAAAACACTCTCGGCAAGAGTTGCGATTTCAGGGTAACTTAAAAGTTCATATTCACTGAAATATCTTCACATTCTGTACTCAACTCAGCATGATACATGTATGGTGGTGTACCTGACACATGCATGCATGTACGTCCGTGAGTGGTGCTCAGTGAAAGATTTCAGCATCATGGGTATTCTATTGTGTACGGTTTCTGTCCAGGTGTTTTTTTTTCACAGTTTATTTCGTGTGCTGTCTGCAGCTGAGCAATAAATCTCAGGGTTGGAAGATTTTGTCACCGTGCTTACCAGGCTACCTGTGGACTAATTTTCTTGGGACTGCCAAGCACAAGTGATAGGTGTCACTTAACAGATTTATTCACTTCGTAAAGTGTAGCCGGAAATAGGTCACAAGCAATACACACTGCATTACATGTTAGTTGATAAAACCTGTGCGTACTGCCTGTACTTTTCTACGCTTACCAATATGCTTAGCAGTGCCATGAAATTGAATCCATCGCTAATATGGCGACAGTTTAAGCCCTATTTGCAAAGTGCTTGTAACATAAACTTAAATATTGTCCATGTTTTTATTTCTTGCTTTTTGTTATCTTCTTCTGAAGGTACTTGTCTGTCTTTAATATGGGGGGGTGGGGCAACCCACCCGAATGCTCTCAGAGCACACAAGCTTGGATGAATTGAATTCTCCCAGATCCAGTGTCCCTTTGAAATAACTGGACTGTATTGCTACACGATGCGGCAGTGTTGTATTCGAGTCCATCACAAGTTCTTTCACAAGTCCCTTCACAAATCCAGTCACAAGTCCCTTCATGAGTCCAGCCATAAGTAACAGGGTGAACCATGACAAAGGAATGCTTTGGTCACAGCTCCTTTGAATAGCTTGTGAATTGGCTTAAGACTAAATGACTAGTGACAGACTTGCGATGGGTTTACTGGGACTTGCAGGGCCTTGTGATACATTTGAAGCAAGATATGGGACGGAGAGAACCCCCCCGCCTTTGTGTTGGTCATTGTTTGATCGGACTCGAATACAACACTGAGATGCGGTATCTCTTTAGTGGACAACAACGCAACATTTGACAAGTAGCCAGAACTGGTATCCATGTGCCGTTTCCTTTGGTTGTCATTACAGGAGAACATCAACGTACTGAATGATAAAACTCTTATCACCATAAACTGGGCCAGACTTCCACTGTTTAAACTGACACATGCAACTTTTTACCATTGAAAGTCATGATTAAAGTTTTGGAAGACACTTAGTGCACGGCATATCTTTCTGTGATAGTACCCCTGTTGGTCCGTAGTGGCCACTTTTGGCCAGTTTCATAGGAAGGATCCCCAAACCCATTTATAATGAAACTGACCACGTCTGCCTGGTCATAACAGCATGAACAAGGCTAACTTGAAGAACCTTCTTGTGTGTGGAAATGATTTCAGGTAATTTTTGAGGCAATCCCCATATACAGGTAAAACATTTTAGGCCAACTCAAATGTATTTGTTTTAACATTTTTTTAAACCTCAATTTACGTGTCACGGTGCAGGCATTTATGTGAACACCTGCTGTGAACCAAAGAACTTGAAGGAGATGAATTGTTTATTGAAGCTATACATGTGCTGTTTTTGAATTTGGTTTCCATTTAATTTTTCCTCGTAACTATGTAAATGTCTAAATCATTAAAGAGAATTTAAGTTCTGTTCAGGAACGATTTGTATTGTTGCTGTTGTTAAGTCTTTCTGGTAATGACACCAAGGATGCCCAAAAGTGCCCCAGGCACTGTAGCTCGTAAGCCTGAAGAAACCTGTAGAGAGGAGACACATGAGAAGAAGTTACAGGTTTAGTGGTGGGAGGAAAACCCCAAAAGAATATACTGGGTAAAACCCACAAAATTGGGTAGGGGTTGAAAACCCAATCCACATGATTCGATTTGATTCCTGGCTGAGCCAAGAATCAAACCCTGGCCGCAGAGGTGAAAGGTGAGGAAAGAGGTACTACGCCATCCTGACTCCCCCGTCTCGATATTTTGTGTTTCACACTGAATAGAGTACTTCTTTTTAATAGATTTTTGTTTTATGGTTTTATATTGAAAGGTATGGTTTGTTTTGGGCTATGTTTGTTCTCATTTCTGTTTTTGAAGACATTGTCTTGTTGCGATTGGATCATTTAATCGACTGAAAAGTGATAAGTTTTTATTATCCGGAGTTCGGTCTTAACAGCTGATTCACATTGGGGGTGATAATATGCAAATGCAAACTTGTGATGTCAAATCAGATATTTTGCACTGCGAAATCACCATAGTTTAACAAGTTTTAACTCTAGCTAAATTCGTTACGGGCATTTTGTAACGTGAAAGTCGTTTTGCTGTGGCATACGGGTATCTGTCAGTCGGCCTCAACGCTTGAGCCGAACGGAAGCTTTGCGATTTTGATGAGTTGTTTGCCTTTCACAACGTTCACTATGAAGCCCTTAACGGTAAATTGCTTGCCCGATTTGCAATCATTCCCTTATAATGCGAATCATTCTTATATGATTGTGTTATGCAACCAGTAGTATTTAACAATATAATTCTGTTATTCTGCAAAACTCGATACATCATCTTACCATCTGATACAAATTCATCTGAAAATTAAGTTCCCTTCCCCCAAGAGTGACGACTGATCAATTTGTTGAAAAATATACATGATTTTCTTATATTATTCATGGTTTCCTTCATTTCAATCATGCATTTCCATCTAATTTTACTCCTCATGAATGCCACAATAATTAAAAACTGATATATACTGTAAAAGGCATGAACTGAATTTCCTGTTTTGGCCCGTTTTATCGGAATGTGACAGAAGTACTGTACATCCTAGTAGTTGCTATTCCGCATACGAAACCAAAACTTGGGCCTTTCTTAAGCTTCACACTTCGTGTTACATTTGCATTTATTAGTGAAGTAGTCTGTTCATTTGAAACCTTGTCCATATGCTCTGACCTAAATACAGTCATGTATGCGTTTTGTGGGGGTTGGGACAGGGCGTTGTTCCTCCGTGATATGCTCGGACAAACAATTTCGTCCACAAATTTAAATCTGCCCTCATCAGCTACGACTGGCCGGCGGTACAAGGCGTCTTTTTCCGTCCGTGGTCAAAGTGGGTATCTTCGGATCGGATCCAATTAAAACGTTCGGTAGCCACAACGTGGGTGACAGTAAAGGAAGACGTGTACCGTTGCTATTCAAGATTGGATCTAGATCACATTTTTTGGTGGGGGACGAATTTATTATTATGTAATCTTGTATTGCCTTTCTTTTGGACGAGGCTACAGTTTGGGGCTTTTTACACCCTTTTGGATTGAGGGGAGTGAAATAGCCCCACAAATCGCCTTACACTATTTTTTTCCAAACATCTCTTTGGCTAGTTTTGTGGGGGATGTTCGGTATACGTCGGTAAGTTTCAGAAGAGGTTATTTTACACCTGACCCCGTGTTGCGGAAAAAAATGCGTTCCGTAGGCCCGCTCGGCACCAGTAGGTACTCCGATACAACTCAGTCACAGCCACCAGCATACAAATAGACGGTTTTCATGGCTGCCATCTTGCAGGCCAGTGCTTTTGTTCCACAGGAGATATACACAGAGGATGTTTCCCTGTGGAACAACAGAACTGCTCTGCAAGATGGCTACCATGCAAAGTCTCTGTATGCTAAACTACAGTGTCGTAATATTAATACTGAACTTTTTCCCGAGTCGAAAATATTACGGGAAGTAGCTCACTGTGATGTCTTCGTAGCACCCCCCCCACCACCAAATTGGTTGAAGGACAACTTGCTGTATTTGATGATCCAGGAAGTATTATAAGCATAGTTGTCTGTGTTTAGCTCGGAAAAAATTCGCTCCAGAGTGGTCAAGGGGAAGTAGGCAGGTCGACATGTGAACCACTCTCGGTATTGCGGATTTCCTATTGGTTGGCGCTTGTTGCCAAGTCACGTATTCAGTATTGGTCATGTTTGAGAAGGCAATCATCATCTAAAACCAGGCTTGGGTTCATCAGATCACAATAAAACCCCGGAGTCACAGAGCCACCAGTGGTCTCTCAAAATAAGCGTTAGCTCGCCAATTCAGCTGATTTATTTTCTGTGAAAGTGTAAACTCTATAGAAAAGTGGGATTTTGCAGTTCAGCTCCTGTCTTCCAGCATCTTTGACATCTGTTAAGATCGAGAAGTCTTGCGCTAAAAGATGGAATTAAGCAGCTCTAAACTTACAGCTTGTGTGATTACTGTCCTTCAGCTCCTGAGAGTGGTGACATCAAATCGAAGTAAGGAAAGAATCATTTTTATTTAAACTCTTTATTGTACTATTGAAATAGTACTGTGTAGGTTTTCCCGGCTGTTGTAAAACGTTTTTCACCTTTCGAATTTTGAGTTCATCCAATACGAGTTTTGTGTTATCGGTTGTAAAAACCGATTTAGTCATTTTACAATCAGTTCCAATTCTCCACATCACTATATGTTCGGAGAATTCATCACTATATGTTCGGAGATCAAATTAGTCTTGTATCAATCAATTAACACTTTTGCAAAATAAGTTAGTCGAGAATGTGCTTGTAGGCGTTTCCTTGTGTCCTTAAGAGCACTTGGGCACATGGAACCAATGTCAAATACAATGTATCAACAAGAACCACCAAAACCTAACTCTTTTAGATTCAAAACAAATTGGAAACAGAAAAAAAATGAACAGGACAATGCATGAAGATTTATGAGCCTTATTTTGCTCATTTTACATTTGTGTGCACCTTGAACGAGTTTAGCATGTTTCAAGAAAACTGAAAATTCGAAAGAAACGAGACGGACACAGAAAGAGAAGAAATACACAGTGGAAAGTGATCTTTTATCTGCGACCTTTATGCCTTTTGAGGATGTGGCAATGGGACGTTGTATGCAATGGAACAAACTTTCACAATTTAAATTGTATTGCGAAAGAAGGATAGGCCTATGTTTTTCTGACATAACAGTTTGGCGTAAATGAGATTTCAGCTCGTCTTGTTGTACTGTTTTGGAAATGGTATACGGAGATGAATGTCTGTTTTTAAGTTGAAGTTGATGAGACTGAAGTCTTAAATTCGACATTGAAGCTCCCCGCTGAACTCACGTGGCATATGTGCTCTTGGTTTGAATTCGACTGAACCACATGTGAAATAATATGAAAATGGCGAACTTCATTGTTGTGATACGGAAATATCCGGGAAATCTTATAATTTACTTAGGCCTATGAGAAGGAACAGTTTATCGTGATGTGAAAATATTCCTGTTTACATTAAATTCAGTTTCGTAAACCATTATATGATATGTGTTCTACCTCAAACCGAGCGCGGATACTGGGGGCGTGGGGGGCGTACGTCCGCCCCCTTTTCCACCACCCCCCCATTAATAAATAAATGGAGAAAAAAAACGAGGGAGGGAGACGAAAAAAGGGGTCATACGGCCTGAAACTGTACCACAGCGCGCCTACGCCGCCGCGGGCATTTTACTACTGCTGTGTTAGTTCACGCCCCCCTTTTGGAAAATCCTGGATCCGAGTCTGCAAACGAGAGAACAGTTTCGCTTCAGTTTGTACCGTGTTATTCTTCAGCAAGCTGCACGTCGTAATTTTCAGTTCCTAAACTTCAGTCCTCAATAATCCTTCAGTGCAACACGCACAATTGCACAAACAATGCACTTTTTCACTCACAGTTCCAACCGAAGGGTATCTGCCCCCCCCCCTCCCGGGAGGGGTATGTTTTACAGTGCAGCCCCTGTGCCACTCGGGCTACTCGGTAAGTTTTGGTTTGACGCGTGGGAAAGAGAACAGGAATTCACCGCGAGTTGATGTACATATTGTTTTGGTCGGCGCGGTAATCGTTGTGTTGCCAAGTTCAGTATTCCGGTTTCTAAGGTTAGGTTGAAAGTGAAATTCTACTTTGCCTTTTTCAGTCTTTGAAACTGACGTAATTCTTCAACTTCACACTAAAATCCATTCTGTCATGTTCGTTGAAAAAGGGTAACTTATAATTACTGTTGCCAAGTGAATTTGAAATCTAAGCTTTACTGCGACCGTCTGCAAAGACCCATTCACTCCAAACAGGTGCAGTTCCAAAATGTGGTAAATAGAAACCTAACTGTTGACATTCAAAAGGACATAGTCCCAGGCGTTGAGAAGCCATTCAGTGCCAGTCAAGGCCAACGGGAAATCAGCGTGTGTTTGAGTAATTGCTACTTTCTGCTACAGTTTTCCGTATGGGCCGTGCACACGGAAGGAAATGCTGTTCAATTCACAAGTACAGTTTTTATGGGTGAACTCGGCAGGGATATTCCAGCATGCGTCATTATGAAATATAAGATCTGTGGGTGCATAGCAGTAGGCCCCTTTTTGCACGCCGAATACTGTATTGAGTTTTGGACTGGCTATCGACATTATGGGTCCGTCTGACATAACATGTCCATCAGTAGACTCGAAGTTCTTAACTGGAAGTGAAATGTTTAAAAGGAAACCCTTAAAGACGTACTTCTGTGTGCCAGTTAATCCTGTTTAAATTTTTGTCGCTTTGAAGGGTATTTTGGAGCATTTTGGTTTGCACATTCATGAGCAAACGTGTGATGTCATCCCAAGAAGAAACCTCAATAATGTAGTCATTCCATGACCAAAATGTGCCAGAACTTTGGATATCTTGCTGTCTTTATTTGGTTCTTTTCTTTAGTGACTTATTGTATCAGGCTATGCGAAAGTTTTCTAAAATATTTTCAGTGACAAATTTGGGCTCACAATTTAAGCACAAGATCGCTGTTCACTGAGCGGTGTCTTCTCGGATTGGCATCACAGCAAGTGCATCCTCTATTGCAGGAAAAGCATAAAAACTACAAAAAAAAAAAGATTGTTGAGTGTAGTTTTCAGTACAATCAAAAAGCGATGCCGAATAGTTTTCATGCATTTAAGAGGAGTATTATTATTATCATTTATTTATTTCTGGTAATGACACCAAGGATTCCTCATAAGTGCCCTAGGCACTGTAGCTTGCAAGCCTGAAGAAACCTATAAGTTAAAATTTTTTGGTACGTTTCTTTTGCATTTGTCAAGTCCTGTTGTCATGCAGCTTTGAAACAACATGTGGGTTGAGTTATACTGCTAAATCTCAATTCTACTGGTCACGTGTCAGTGGAGCCACACCCAACCAGTACACCGGCCCCTCAAACGACCACACGTTTGGGAACAGTTATGGTGAGTATTTGAATGTTTCCAGGTGTGTGGAGCTCGAGAAGAGACAGACAAAAAAAGAAAATGGGCAGGGAAATATCTTTTGACCAATTCATTCCCTCGAAATAATATTTAGCCCCCCCAAAAAAAACATTTCGTTTCCTCAAAATCAGTTTGTTCCCTCGGAATAATTATTTCGTTACCCCGAAGAATAGCGTTAGCACCGAATGACGTTTTTCTTCGAAATACTGGATCAGTTCACCGAAATGCTGTATTTCAAAGTTCCCTGGAAAAAGAGATTTCCTTTCCTCCGAATAATTTTTCGTTACTATTTTACGGAAGCCTGAATTTGCCATATGCATTTCTGGCGCGTCTTTTGTTTTATTTATTTATTTATTTTTTGTTTTCTGCATTGAAAATGGTTTTCAACCAGTTTATCTTCAGTAATACAATTAGTAATGTAATGATCATTTTGGGAATACTTCTGAGACACTAGATCATCCTAATCAAAATTGTTTTCTGATAATGTCCCCTTGGGGGCTCCTTATTACATCCTTACGGTTGCAATGGTTTAAGAATACTTTCCCTCGGAGATGGATGGAATGGTTCATTCCAAGAGACGAAACCTGGCAGCATCATAGGCCTAACCGATTGGACAATATATACGAGGTTTGCATGACATCAGTTGTTGTGGTTTATGATGCTCGCTGAACCACTGATCTCTTTACGCTGGATGGGCAGCTCATAAGTAACTGACTATGCATGAATTGAAGTGACCGCGCGGCCATCTTAGGATATTCAATATAATGACCTCCAACTTCGGTCCATTCACTAAGTGCATTCAAGCACGGCGCTAAACGCCATTGTATTGAATAGCCTAACATGGCCGCGAAGTTTCTTCAATTCGCAGAGCAGAGCTGCCAACCCAGGGTATAGAGATCAGGGCGTTGCACAAAACCTCTTGTTGGGGACATAGGGATGTAGCACGTCAGTCCGATCCTTCTTTGAGATTTCAATCAAAATAAAAACCCAAAATAAAAACCAACAAGCACAAAGGAGAAAAAAGTGTACATAGGGACCCCTGAAAATCATATACACCCTAGTCATATTTATAGTACATGAAATGATATTCACATCTTCTGAAATTCATTTAAATACTCAAAATGTTATTATTTAACTGACTTTGTTTTTTCCGCTATTGTTTGTCATGAAAGAGCTGGATTGAATAACCGTTTGTAGAATTACAGGCCATAATTTCCATCGATTCGCAATAGCTATATCATCAAAACTTTGATTAAAGGTCGTCGAATTGGATTATCTGTTTGAATCTAGAAATTGTCACTTGTAGAAATACCTGAGCAGTTCAACATTTGCACGGAGTTTCTCTCTTCCCACCCCGTGTTCCAATCCAGAAGCCCTTCCCCTTAAACCCTTTCAACCCCTGTGTTTTTCTTAAATCAACCTCTAAAAGGCAAGTACATCTACGCCCCGTCCAGCCGGAATGAATACGACTTCGGCCGGCGGAGCACCCTCTACTCGCCCGCCTACCGGCTGACGTCCGGGAAGGGCCGCCTGGAGTTCTACTACCATATGTGGGACGGGCTTCGGCCCGACGACATGGGCAGTCTGAGCGTCTACGTTTGCGGGGACGACTCCCCGCTTTGGATCCGCCGACAAAACCAGGACAACCGATGGAGGTGGACTGGCCTGTTGGAATTCTCCTGCGACCAACAATTCCGGGTAATATCGCTTTTCTTAAATCCTTGTAAGAAACATGTAGAAAGAAATATACTACATGAGGTCATTCTCAAAAATCCAAAGGCGATCCTATAAAATAGGTAACTCGCCCTATGGCTACATAATGTGTTGTATGGTTACTCGAACCTTTTTGTTTTGTTATGCACTTTGGAAGCAGTATTATGGGAAAAGGAAATAAGTAAGTGTTATTAATAACTTTGTTGAAGGTGCATATGTGGCGTCTATTGGTCCTGGAAATTACACTGCAAAAACTAGGGTGTTAAATTTAACACCCCCGGTGTTACCAGAGGACTACACCAACACTTTTCGCTCCTGTTAAAAAGTTAGGTGTTATTTGGTGTTACTTTTAACACTTTTAAGTGCATTATAATACTTATAGGTGTGCAAAGTAACACCAGCGGTGTTAAAGTAACATCCTGTGGTGTGGTCATCTGATAACACCAAAAATGTTTATTTTTAACACCAAAGTTTTTGCAGTGTAATGTCTTTCAGGCCTTCTTTCCGAAGAACCTAACCCAACCAAATTTTGTCAAATCCCGGCTAAGCCAAACCTACCCCAAGCAACCCATCCAACCGACCTAAACTAGATTATATATAGCCAAACTCAGCTGACCCAACCCAACCTGTATCAGCCCAACCCAACCCAGTTAAACACCGCCATAACCCAACCTATCCCAACCAAACCAATATTTCAGAGACAGTCAACAGTCATGAGTTCCAACAACAGAACTCCGTCCCTTTTGAGATTAAATTTCATATACGGAATTCTTTGCCTGCATCACACAGGTCTTCTTTGTGGCATCTCGTGGAAAGTATCAAAGCGATATAGCCATCGATGATCTTATCATCACGGACATCTTCGACGATCCAAGTAAGTTAGTTGGACATTTAAGGTGTGCAGATGGATGGCGTAGATAGATAATCACGTATGCCTGAAATAAATGGGTCCGTGTACAATCATTCGTGTTAATTTGATTTTGCTCAGTTATTGGATATAAAAATTTAACGTCAGTTTCCCCGTAATGACACCATTTTTATGACAGGGCTTGTACAGTATATTTAAACAGTGCTTTGTGACAGTAAACTTGAACGTATGTTTGAGGTTTCAAAGGAGATAAATTTGCGAAAAATTTGAGATAAATTTCCACTGGGGGCTGGATTGAGGGATGACTTGAATCCAAATTTCCGCCATGGAGCCATGGTGGTAGGAAGTGTTCATTTTGTTGGTAACGACGCGAGCGTAACGCGTGCCTTTCATAATCGTTCGATCGTGGGCCAGTTCCGACCACCTCAAAGGAGCCTCTGGTCGAGTTCGAGCGGCCTGTTCTTGACACGAGTTCCGTGTCCTCGCGCTCGAACGGCGGGAAAATGACCCAAGATCACTGTTCACGGAACAGGTTCACACACCACCTCCTCGTCAGCGTTTTACACGAACACACGGAAAAATCGTGAGAATTGATCTATAAAAATCTGCAAAACCTATCGAGATGGCTTACAAAGCTGGAGATTATGGAAATTTTTCCAAAATTAACAATGATTTTCAATGGCAGAAATGATTTTTAAAGGAAAATAAGTTAGCCCAATTATCCAAACATTAACTCTCGAAGAATGCGCAAGGATGCCGCGATGTTGCTTAAATGCTACAAATAACTAGTACCGATAACCGCTTGTACGTTCCCGGCGTTCGAGCGGCTGACCCACGAACAGCAAATTCAGCTGTTCGTGAACATACGAGAACAAGCCGCCCGAGCTCAGCCTGTATTTATAGGAAAATTGCGCCCTCTCTTGGTCCAGGTTCATTACACACCAGAAATTTGACGGGGGGGGGACAAACCATGACACGGGGGCGCTCTGCATGGTGCAGATGTGTATTTGATATGCATACGTATAACCTAACATCGAAGCAACGTTATTATGGTTGTTAATTTTTCTCACTTTTCTGTGCTAATGGCTAATGAATACATTTAGGTCATTCGGAAGTGCGAAAAATTACTTAAAGTCCGCCTCACTGTTTTCTTACCACCTGGTCAAAAAGGGGAGGGGGTATATTTATACCCCCGTCCCCGAGAGATGTACGACCCTGGACAAAGCTAACACCTCCCATCGCAACTTTGTAACACAACTGAAATTACCCTTGAAAAAGCAAAGGTCAAAACCAAGCATTAAATGGCCATGCTGGTGTGCAGTGATTTTCGACCAACTTGAGGTAAATGCTGTTCATTATTCATCGCGGGGTTTCAAATTCTTTAATTGAAAGCGTTAGTGCCGCAATACTCCAAGTCCAACCAGTTTTATTTTATGGCAATTTTTTTTCAGCCACGCCCATTATAACAACGGTCCCTCCCACCACAACGCCCACCATTACCACGGCACCTGCAACAACTACTCCATCCATCATCGCACCCGCACAACGGACGACGCCCAACCCACCACCATCCACCAAACCAACCACTGTCGCATCGACTGCAGTTACTCCCACAACCGTAGCTGAAACTCCACAGCCGCAATCGACCCCTGGGCCAACAGCCACCCCATCCACAGTATCTGCAGCCGGAACGCCGGCATCCACCGGGGCACCGAGAACAGCGCCATCAGCGACGGATGTGCAGACAGAGGGTCCTCCAACCACAGTGGCAAATAAAGAAACTTCGTCATCCATCAGAAAGGCAGACATACAAACGTCATCTGCGTCCAATAACTTTTCAACTATAAGTGTAAGCGTGGGCCCCAACTTACAAAGTAAGTGTTGCTCTCTGGCACCTCTAGTAGGACGTGGGTCATTTATTGCGCTCTTGTGCACTTTGGGGGGATGAAAACGTACATGGGTTGACTTTCCTGAGCTTGAATTCCATTGGTATAACATTCCCATTTAAGAGGCCACCATCCAGGATTTCATAATGACCCAATAGACCTGTCCCTTTCTTCGTTACACTGGTCGTGTTGCTAAGCAGTGGCTATACAACTAATACTGGTCGTCATGGTAAAGCAAAAGAATAATTTACAAGTACAGAAAAATCCAACCCAGCTGTCACTCACCGAGTAATAAACACTACTTATACATTGTAAAAATGGAATAAAGTCCTCTGAATAAGTAATTATTGCATTTATTTTCCTTTGTTGTAGGCGGATCATCCTCCCCTTCTTTCATTGGTCCCATCGTTGTGGTTTGTGTGGCTCTGCTATTCGTTGGCCTTACTCTATGTCTCGCCATGAAGAGAAAAAAGAGGTATAAATTCAACAATACGGGCGATTCACAATAGTGCGCCACCAAGAGTTTGCAATACATTGTTCAATCATAACGCGCGAAATTTGTCGACCCTTTCCAAACGCGCATTGGGTCGACAAATTTCGCACATTGAGATTGGCCAACGCGTTGCAAACTCTTGATATACAAGCGAACATCTTCAGCAACAAGCAGCTGGGGTCAAATGTTTCTTCATTATGTCTGAAAAGCATTCATCATAATCATCTTTGATCCATTGCCATCTTCAGCAGTATTCTCAACTTCACTATTCTATTCGTCATCACTGCTTGATCGAGAACCAACAAGGGCAGGCCGGATTTTTGGACCATTTCACAGCCGAAAGGGGGATCCACCCTAATAACTGGGCTTGCACATAGTTTTGAAACGTAGCAAGCATGTAAAAACACTCATAACTAGCACACAGAGTTTTAATTCAATTTAACATATATGTAGGGTTTTGACGTTACGGTCATTTGAAGTTTAAGGCCTCTTGCGTGTCAGTCGCGTGCGCTGAGCACGTCAATTTTAAATTTAAAAAAAAACATGGATTTTTGGCTTAAACTTGTCTCGGAAAAAATCGCGTTGAACGCTAGCGTGCAGCTAAACACAGGGTTCTGGAGCCTAGGTCGAAATCATCACAGTCTCCATTACCACCAAATACAACTGTTACAATTGCCCCTTCCACGGGGCAAGTGCAGGGTCGTTATATGAGCGTGCTTGTATGTGAGAAAGACCCTATTTTTTATTCAAAATCTATATTACATTTACAGCAGATGCAAGAACACCACCCTTTCAAACACAGACAAGGAAGTCAAGTATACAGTTGAGAACCCGTCATACGGTGGTGTGAACTCGATCGCTGTCACCGGTGACTCGAGACAACCCAACAGCTACAGCTACCAGGAGTTAATGCGCTCACAAAGCGGCTGTGAAGACGGCGAACGGGAGGGCAAGTACAACACTGTCGACGGCGGGGATGCCGGTCTGATGGGATGGCAAGGCCACCAAGAGGACAGGGAGGAGGCAGGCGCCCCCAAGCGGCGCGGGGAGTCAGTCCTGTATGCGGCCATTCCCGACCAGGGGGGCGCGAATGAATATTCGTACGCGTACCCGAATCCAGGCGGGAGTCGCGGCGGACTGTCATCAGCAGGCAGGGGGGTTGGACCGCGAATGGCGACTCCGGGAAGGGCGCAGTGGGACCTCGAGGAACGAGAATACGCGGCGGTCTCTGATCCCGTAAACAAACCCGGTCATGATGACGGTGGGGCGGCTGGCGCGTACGGAATGGTGGACAACCAATTTTATATCCCTTTCAAAGAATAAGGCATTTTGAATCGTAGGCCTATTGCATGCATTGACATTAATGCTTCAAACTTCTTCCTTGGAAAGGTCCAATGTAGTCCCACGTGTAGGCCTACTCAATTAACTATTGAACTTCGTCACTCCATCCATCCCATACTCTGTCCGGTCGAGGCGGAAAGTTTTTCTGACTCACTAGTTGTCATTTGCCTGTGTTTTACGTACGTATACTTCAGTACCGGCTATTTCATAATTATTTTGTCGGGCTACATTGCTCAAGACAGCAGAAGATACTCTAGACCCCAAAACTCACCCAAACAACTAATAGTGAATAGTGAAAGCACTCGAGAATACTTTGCATTGTATGTAGGCTAAAAGTATAAAAACAAGAATAGTGTTTGTATCGATGTAGGCCCTATAGTATTGGAGAAATATATCTTAACTTAACCATTTTGGAACAAATATTTATGAGCTCTTTTTTGAAATAGTTTTATAATATGAGGAGGTTTGGCGATGATTAGTTGCCACTGAATATGATCATACAGTTTCCTCTTTAATGGGGGGTTGCAACTGCTGAATACTCCGCACTGCCTCGTTCATGGTGTCCGTACGCCGTAGTAAAGTAAACCTCCTCTGTAGTTAACTATCTTTATGATTGTTTTGTACTATTTTGATAATCATGTGGTGCAATTGGGAAATTGAGAATAACTCAGTTTCTTTTGGCCAGGCTCTTTGTTATTTCTCTTACGTTTATTTGAGCATTCCAGAGCGCAGTAGTGATAACTTCGCTATAAACTTCGTCCTCTTTTGTATCGTTGACAACCACCTTTAATGAGGGTCTAGAATAGTTCATTTTTCGTCTTTAGAAATAATTTATCGGGACAGTTATTATAATACAGATTTCTGAAATATTTACATTAATCACTAGGAGATGTTATACTGTTGCCGGAATATCCAAATCTCTACGATTTCTGACGCTATTCTGGGCTCGATTCTGGGCGCACAGTCGATCGCGACATTATGTTCTACATTGAGTATTACATGTTATGCGGGGTACCATGTATAGCCATGCACTATTTACACGCAGCTTGGGATATGGCTCTGCACTATAGCCATGTAGTACCACCCTATTAGCACCCGAAGTCACCTATAATTTATTTAGTATTTAATCGCACACAAGCAGAATCTTACCTTTAATGGTTCTTTTGATCATAATTGAAGGTTAATGGATAGACTGCTCTGTGACAAAATGAGGATTTTAATCAAATAAAATGTAACGTGAGGGCGTCGCGATTAATTGTTCGCGATATGAAGGAAGCTGAAGCGAGGCGACAGTCAGAGTTGCATCCGGTCACAGAAAGAAGCCGGATTGTTAGATGAGTTGAAATGTTCTGCACTCCTTTTATTCCTTGTTATCTTAGAGAACAGATCAGAGCCTCTGTGTAGAAATTTAAAACTGCACCACTGCCTCCATATTCACGGGGTTATTAACTTGCAAGAACATAAACTCAGTACCCGAAGCACCATCAAGACCTGTGTGTACGACATGCTTCCTTCCGCCCCCCCTTACCGTCATGGGAATAAACGCCCCCATGTTGGTCCTCAACGACTGACGATTAGCTCCATGGTAACGTGGGCTCGCAACACAAATACAGGTTCATGAGTGTTTACGTCACAAGTTTGCGAATCTGAGGTTTTACTTTAGTTTTAATATGCGTCAAGAGTGTTTGTGAACGAGACGAATATACAATGAACAGGAGACGCTTTTGAAAAGTATGTCTTTGGTCCAGCTGGAGTGATACTCCTGTCTACGGGGGATAAGTCGGCGAGATTCAAGGAGTATCCCTGGACGACGTTTCAGCCTCGACTCGTCTACCTCATTGGATTGCAATGCTGCAAAAACCCTTTCAGACTACTTTGTACTGTATTACATCGATATTTCTAATCATAAACATACAGTTAGTTTACCAACTGGACAATCTACGATTTTGCAAGTACTCAGCACACGGTCTGTGTAGGCTTGGTGGGAATCAGTCAGTCTGAGGCACCTGTCTACTTACATATACATTGTGCGCGCGCACCGGGAGAGTCGTCGATATACGCGCCTGCAATTCCAACATCTGATATCTGACCTCTACTTAGCCTACAGGGAAACACATCAAATCATACTATCGTCTTTTTTACCCGACAGCTGGTACCACGTTTTGCCTCAAATCAACTTCTTTTACGTTTGTGTAAACGTTTATTAATCAATGCATCGACCGGTTTATTTGTATATTGCAATTGTTATCAAATGAAAATAGGCATGGTGTACAGTTAGTTTGCACAGCATCTATGTATGAATGTGAGACGATTCTGATGTGTAACTTTATGATTCACATGAGCAATAACTATTGAACGATCACCGCTTCAGATATCTCGTTTGTGCATGTCTTTCTATCCCAACAGAGAAACAGCTGTCTACATCTCACGATAGCATTGGTAGTTGCTCGTGACACTCGTTTTCGCTGTGAGATTCGGGGGA